CCACTTCGGGGCCGGGCGGAAACCCCATGTCCACGGCCGGAAGGCCGAGAAGCCGACTGCACGAATTGCATCCTGCCCGAGGGGGCAGCGGAGAACGGGCTGGGGGCTGCCTGCTGTGGGAGGTGGGACAGAGGACCAGATGAGTCAGGGGCAGCCAGGGAGCGAAGGGGAGAAGGGGGACTCGGGCTGCGGGGTACGGGCCAGGCATGGCGGGGGGGAGAAAAAATGAGAGCAGGGGGCACCGGGGTGGCTGGGGTGCATTAGAATGGGCCAGGAGTGGGATGGAAGCGGCCCCGAAGGGGCTGGGACTAGTCAGGGGGGGCCGGAGACAGGGCCCAGCGCACAGAAGCCACGTGGATGGTGCCTTAACCGAATCTCGCCAGCGCCCTAGGCGTGCCTTTCCCGTCCACCTTGGAGGCGGAGATCGCCCGTGGGTCCCTGGCCCCAGATGCCGAACCCCACCGAGGGGCGGTTCGGAAGGAGCTCGCAGTCAGCGGCAGCCTCCTGGCGGTGTAAGTTCTAGAAGGGGCTGATGGGGAGGGGCGGCAGGTGGCCGGGTCTGCCCGGAGGGGCGCTCGATTGGCAACGTGGGGCCACTCAAGGGTTGGGCCTAGGGAGGTGACCCGGTGCGCTGCACCCAGCTCCACCTGAGGGGCACTCTAAGGGAGATGGCAAAGGGCTCAGGGTCATAGACGAGCAGGGCGGGGACGGTGGGACTTGGCACCTCCCTCCAACTGGATTTTCTTTTTCCCTCCCTTTCAGCCGCTGGAGAGCTGAAGATTCCCGCCTCCTGCGAATTTCCATCGTCAACTTTCTGGACCAGCTAGCTCTGGTGATGCGGACCCTGCAGCGCTTTGGGCCCCCTGTTTCCCGCTAAGCCAGGGAGGGGGAAGGAGGTTAAGGTCAAACCTTGTGTCCCTTCCTAGACAGCGCATCCTTCCTAGGGGGGTGACCCCCACAGTAGTAGCCACTTCACTGTGGGGCCTCCTCTTTTGCCTGTACTGGCGCTTGGGCGCTCAGGGTCCCCTTGGTTGGTTTGGTGCTTAAATGCTTATTAACTACAGAAAATAACACTGAGCTATGATGCTGTGTCTGAATTCGTTTTCAACTGTGGCACCTCCAAATGTTCCTGCCTTTGTCCTCTGGTTGGAGGGGAGGTTCTGGGACCCAGATTTTCAAATAGCACAACGTAATTGAAGACAGTTTAAGATGTGGAAGAAGAGACGTCCTGTCACTCAGTATTAACTACTGTCACCATTTTGGAACATTTCCTTAGTTTTATAGTCGTATTTATATACCAAATGTATAACAGTAATATATATTTTGCAAGCTTAGCATTTTTCCTGATATTTTTCATCTAACGTGAACTTTTTTCCCTAACAATTCTTCGAAAGCATTATTGAAGGGATACGTAAAAGATAACATTATTGAGCATTTAAATCACTGTCAATTTTTGACATATTATAAGTAAAGATTCAGTGGAATTCTTGTGTATAAATCTTTGCATGAATGATTCTTAAGATAGGTTAAAAGAGGTAGAATTGGTTAAATGTTTACAGTTCTCAATCTGAAGTGAGGAATTGCTCTCCAGAAAATGTGCTGTCCCACCAGAATGCTGGTTGCCCACATCCTTGTCACCACTGCGTCTCCTCGGCAAAATTAAAAAAAAAATTGGGGGCTGGGGGGGTAACTAGGTTTGTTTGTTTGTTTGTTTGTTTGTTTCTTAATGGAGGTACTGGGGATTGAACCCAGTACCTCGAGTATGCTAAGCAGGCACTCTACCACTGAGCAAAACCCTCCCAGCCTCGGCAAAATTTTTTAAAAACTTGGTTTGCTTGAGAAGAGGAAACAACCCGGAAACACCACAGTAGGAGCTTTGTGGCTCACTGGCCTGAGAGCAGGCCAGTGAAGAAAAAGTGCTGGGACCATGGTTTAAGCCTTTAGTTAGAAGGAGGTGGCTCCTGGGAAAAGATGTCATATCCTGCAGCCTTGCTAAACTCACTTATTCTAGTAGCTCTTTTGTAGCTGCCGTTGGGTGTTCCCCGTACGTGATCATGTCTTCTCGGAATGAAGGCAGTGTTACCTCTTCCTTTCCAATCTGGAGGCCGTTCAGCGATCAATTTCACTCCTAGTTAAGGGTTGGATTTTCCTGCTCTGTATCCCCTGGTAGTTTTTGATTCAGTGTCAGACACTGAGCCTTTGCCCTTGGGTGGTTGCTGGATGTCTTTGTATTCTTAGACATCCTTTTCGAGCTTTGTTCCGGGATGCTGGTAGACTACTGGGAACAGTCGGATCCTTGAGTCTTTCAAGGTCTGCTGCCTGGGACCAGAGCGGCTTTCAGTGGAGGAGCCATCTTTTGTCCACCCTTCTGAGCCCTGGCCCGATGCCTGTTGAATGGCGAGGTTTGCCCTTCTGGCCGGCGGGGACAGCTGCAAGTCCCTGTCTTGCTTGAGCGCTGGGCATAGTTACCTTTCATCCATTGGGGTGGCCCAGTCCCCGGCCTCACAGTTTCCTCAGGAGCCTGTGCTGCTCTGTGGTCTGTGTGTCCTCCCGTCGGACCCTCTGCCCGGGTGCAGGGCTCCCTCCTCTCCGGTCCTCCGCCCACCAGGCTGGCCCCAGACCCAGGGAGCCGGCTGGACTCCGTCTGGAAGGTCTCTGGGACAGTGAGCTGGGGCCAGTGCACGGCTTCCCTCTTCCTTTCTCGTCTCCCAGAGAGCCCTGACTGTCCTTCCCCACCCGACAGCCACCCTCCTCACAGCCTGTGTTTCATGTATTTTGCCTGGTTTTAGGGAGTTCTTTCAGGTTAAGTGGCAGGGCAGATCCGGTCCCTGTCACTCCACACAGGTGAACAGCCTGCCTTACAGAACGTGGAGCACCCTGACGTGGGCTGGAGGGAGGGAGGTGCTGTCGGTGGGGATGGTGGCGGTGGTCGTGATGTGACGACGGTGATGGAGAGTCTCACCTGACTGCGTGCAGCAGCTGTGGTGGCTTCAGTGATCATTTCACAATGTAAGTCAGATGGCATTCTCCCCTGCTCAGGTCCCTGCACGGGCTCCATTCTCACTCAGAACATAAGCCAGAGGCCTTATAATGGGCAATAAGGCCCTATATTATAATCTGCGAGTCCTCAGTTACCACTCCACCTCCTCTGCTGTGCCCTCAGCATTGCAGGTTTTCTGCTGAATTGGGGCTTTTGCAGTCTGTGCTCCCTGCCTTGAAGGCTCTCGCAAACATAGCTTGTAGCTCCCTCATCTCCAAGGCTGCTCAGGTCTCATCTTCTCCCCCTCCTTACTCATGTGGCCACCCCCCTAGGCAGTGCACACCTGCTCCTCCTCATGCTGTTCTTTTTCTTTTCCATACCACTCATCAGTTTCTAAAATACAGAATAATTTACAAGTTGATTTTTTAAATTTCCTGTCTCACCTATGTCTTAGGTTGGTGGTCTGGTGACTGCTATTACATGACAAGCTACACCCAAAGTTAGTGACATAAAGTAACGATGGTCATTTACTTTGCACACACATCTCTGGTTTGGGCGGCCACTCGGGGTAAGGTTCACATCTGCTGCATGGGACCACATCTGGGTGGTCAAACTGCAGCCTGGAGGAATCTGCTTCCAACGGGTCTTACACGGCTGACAATTTTGTGCCAGCTACCAGCTGGGAAGTCAGCAGAGTCTGAGGGCCCAGGGCCTTCGCTCTTTTCCGTGTGGCATGTGCTTCCTCACAGCGTGATGCCTGCGTTCCAAGGGTGTGTATCCTGAGAGAGGGCCAGGCAGAAGCTCTGTGCCCTGTAGGACCCAGGTTCTAGAGGAGAGGACGGAGACTCTACCTCTTGATGGGGAGTGGCTAGATCCTGCAAGAGCAAGTGGGACAGAAGATCTCTTTACAGCCATTTTTCCAGAACTCAGTGTGCTATAGCTGGGTTCGCCGAAGGCTGGGCCGGCGACGGCGGGAAGGCGGGACGGGGGAAGGGGGCGGAGTCCAAGCGAGGGGGCGTCTCGGGGAGAGGAGGAATCCTGCCACATTCCACTGGGGAGCTCTGCAGTGCAATTTCTCCTTAGACTTTGTCCCAACCTGAGGTAAAGGAACTGAGATTTCAGAGTGCTGTCCTGCTCAGTGCAGAGGGCAGGCGGAGTGCATCCCAAGGTGTTTTCTGCTCTCGCAGGTAAAGCAGCTCCAGTAGATGCCGGAGAGGCTCTCCACTGACAGGGAGTCCCAGGTGCGGGCTGTTGGCAGCAAAGGCACATGAAAGCCAGGGGCCACGTCAAACAGTGAAAGGTGTCCTAGAGGACTTGGATGGAGCACCAAGAGTGCCCCACATCCTGCCAGAGCATAAGCTCCTTAGGGAAAGGGATTTTTGTTCACGCTCTTAGTTCCAGAGTGCCTACAGACTACCTGTTATGTAGCAGGTGTTCCCGAAATATGTGTTGAAGTAGATGGAGTTATCAATGGAAATAAGTATTCCCTTTATTGCTTCTGTCTTTTGTGCCTTGCTGCTGAAGGTCTTCCATACCCCAAGATAATAAAAAGTTTTCCTCTAGTTTCTTCTACGTTGTATGGTTGTGTTTCTAAATATTAACTTTTTAATTCCCCTGGAGTCTTTTTTCCCCTCATGTTAACTGGTTTGTTGAAGTATAATTTACATGCAGGGAAGTGTACAAATATTAAGTTTAAGGACTGATCGATTTTTACGTATGTATGCCCCTGTATAATCACCACCCGGATTAAAATATTGAACATTTCCATCATTCCAGAAAACTCTCTTGTCTTATTATAATTAATAACCATTCTTCTAATTAATAATAATTTTTCCAAATACAGGTAACTACTTGATGACTTCTATCACCATAAAGTATGAAAATGAATTAAAAGCCTGAAATTGAAGAACAAAAAAATTTAAATGATTGAAACTTTCAAAACAGACATAAAACAATTAGGTTGTGTTGTTTTACACGAAGGGAAGCAAAGGCTAAAGCTGACTGAAGTGGAGGTTTTCACCAAGAAGCAAAGACCAGGACCGCAGTAGCGGACAGACGCCGAAAGGGCCGAG